CCACAAATGTCACATGATCCACACACGTCACACGATCCACAAATGTCACACGATCCACAAATGTCACACGATCCACAAATGTCACACGATCCACACACGTCACACGATCCACAAATGTCACACGATCCACAAACGGCGGGCGAGCCTCTCCCAGGGCGGAGAGGGCAGCGCTGGGTGAGCTGGGGGCAGCATCGGCCCCCCCTCCTGTCCCCGCTCAGCGGGTCCTCGGGCAGCAGCTATGACGGATGCCGCTTCTCTGAACGACCGGCGTGAGGCCTCCCGATCGTCTCGTCTCCGCAAGGACAGCCCCCATTTGTGAAAACAGCTCGAAAGGGAGGGCATCAGGGAAACAGGAAAGCACAAGGTTCTGGGCCCAAGTCTCGCCGGCCCGGGGACGTGAGACACGGGAGGACTGCAAAAGGGCGTTGTTGTGCAGGGAGCCGGTGACAAAACGGCAACCCACAGAATGGGAGGAAATATTTGCAAATCATGTATCTGATTAATGCACAGAGTATATAACGAACTCCTAAAACTCAACAGCAAATAAAATAATAAAATAAAATAAAAATACCCAAAGTGGTTCAAAAACAGGCAAAGGACTCGAATAGACATTTCTCTAAAGAAGATGTGCTAATGGATGGCCAATGAGCACACGAACAGACATTCCATATCCCTAATCAAGGAAATGCAAACGAACCTCAAAGCTGAATGCACAGTTTGGTCCAGAGCAGGGCAGGACTAGGGGGACGCAGGTGCGGTGCCCCAGGTGCGAACTTTAAAGGGGTGCCCACTCTCAGGGGATAGACCACTGGGGAAAGTCCTTTGTCCCTTTCTGCTACCTTCCCTACTGGCTGAAAGGCGGAAGTGATACTTGGAACCTCAGCAGCCGTTATGGGCCGTGAGGTAACCTTGAGGGTGCCAATCATAAGATAACGGTGTAGAAAGGGAAGGCGCCTACCTCCGGAAAGACTGCCTTCTCTCATGTGAGAGAAAATAAAGGAAAAAATCTCATATAAACCACTGATATGTTGGCTTTTCATTACATGAAGCTGAATCTAAAAATATCTAGTACAGGTGCCTCCATCGGAGATGCTGGCTTTGTGCTCCAGCTCGAGCCGCTACGAGTGGAGCTGATTATGTCCTCGGAATCCCTCGACAGGATGTAGAGAAAGGAATCCAAGGAGTCTGGGAGCCAGGACCCTGCAGTGTGTCCCGTGTGCGATCAGTCCCCAGCCCGACTCTGGACAGAACCCCCACCCCCACCGCCAAAGCCCAGGGAAGGGCGCTGAGGGAGGCAGCGCCTCTTAGAAAGTGTCCCCGAGGCTCCTCTCTGCAGGTCGGAGAGGCCCTGGGGGACAGTGCAACTGAAATCGCTCCCCGGCGTCCACGGAGAAGGCGTGGCTGGCTGAGCACGTGGTGCTGGGGACCGACACAGGCAGGCAGCGTGCAGGTTCTTGATTCGATTCGTAGCATCGAAAACTCAAGGCCCGGTGAACACATACGTAACCTTAACATTTGCACCCCGATTATATGCTGGAAAAAAACCCCCGGCGAACAGGGACAGCTTGAGCCTTCACAGCAGAGTCATAGCCTCCCCCCACCCCGATCACCCAGAACCTTCAAAGGAAAGGCGGGCACGTATCCCAGAGGGGGGACTTTGGAACAGAACCAGCGTGGGCGGTGCTGAGAGTCTCCGCCCTGGCCTTCCCCAGACAGCGCGTGGCCATTGCCCCGGCAGCTGAGCTCCAGGGAAAGGGCTCTGGGGGCCACCCTAAGTGCCTGGTGAGTGGACCGTCCTAGACCACGGCAGGGGAAGACTGCGGCTGGCACTGTCGCCGTTCCGCGTGGCTGGCTGGGGCGACGAGCACAGCCCTGCACGCGGCTGCAGCCATGGCCTCGAGTCTCCCTGCGCCCCCTCCCCTCCCCGCTCTCAGCAGTGTGTGCGCCGGCTGCCACTGTGTGTCTGGGTCCTGCCATCTTAATCTTGCTATGGTCATCATACTAGGCAAGAGTGAATACCAGGGGTGTCCGGCGTGCTCCTGGTCACGTGGAGAAGGGCACAGCCTCGATTAGTCTCTGTGGACTCTGGAGGTGACACATGCCACACCTGGGGGCAGCTCCCCTCCTTCGATGGAGCCCCAGAGTCTGCTGTCTGGGCACGGGCACTGCCGGCGGTGCAGCTGCCAGGCAGGTGGCCCTCGTGACCCAGTAACCCAGGGCGGGGGGTCGAGGGGCCCGTGGCAGGCCTGAGGGGGGCCCCCAGGAGACGTCTGGGGCTTTGGAGCAGAGGGACGCCCTCTTGGCAGGGAAACTCACTCCTTCCCAGCCACAGCCAGCTTCGGCCCCGCCTGAGTGAGGGTCCTGGGCTGCCCCCGGGGCTGGATGTGACCAGAATGTGCCTGCCTGTGGGGGAGAGGGGCCCCCAGGAGGGCCGGCAGTCCCAGGGGCGCGGCAGATGTGCGTGGGCATCACAGCCGCCCTGCCCTCCTAAGGCACCTGCCCCCCGGGACCCTCGGGGAGCTGCCCGGTCCCAGCGACTGGGGAGGAGGAGCCCAGGCCTGGCCTCAGATCCAGCGAAGGCCGACACCAGACCGGGGTGGCCTGTCGCCCAGCAGCACGGGCACCTTGCTTTGGGCTGAACTTGAGCAGAAATTCTCACTTTCCACGTGGATGGAGGGAAGGGGCCTGGGGGTCACGTGCCCGAGGGAACCCAAGGCCCGGCGGCGAGGAAGAGACTCAGGGACCGGGGTCTGAGGCCTCGCGGGGCAGGGGCGCCCACCCTGGAGACACCCCCTTCCAGATTCCTTTGCAAATCCTTTTATCATTCGCTGCAAAAAACCCAAAATGCTGCCTTGCAGCCTGTGGACACGCCAGCTCATCGTTCAGCATGGCTCTCCCTGGCCAGGGTGCCGAGTCACCTGGTTCTGGGTGGGGACCTGCAGCCTGGGCACCACCTGTGGCCTTCTGGGTCCTTGAGTGTGGCCTTTAGACTGAATCCAGATTTTACAGGACACAATAAAGGCGTTTGTTCCACGAAGTTTGGATTCGGCTGAGGAGCTGCAGGTGGGGACCTGGGGGCCCCGTGTGGCCTCGAGGCTGCAGGTTCCCCACCCCTGGGAAAGGGCCTCGCACCCGAGAGAGGAGCTTCCTGCAGGCAGAGCTCTGCGGGTGCAGCGAGCTGGCGGCCAAGGCCGGCGTGTGGCCCCAGGCGGCGCCACGCCCGCGGGCACCGGGGGAGCAGGGAGGGCCTGGCTGGCTAGGGGGACAGGGCCCTGCTCCGAGCAAAGAGCACGGACGGACTCAGGTGTGCCCTCACCCCACCACCTACACCGGCTCCCCGCAGGGCTGCGGCCTCCCTACGGCAGCAGGAGGACCAGAGCTCTCTGGAAGGAGCCTCCTGGTCGCCTCAGTGGGCCCCGGGCCTCGGCTGCTGAGATGCTGGGGCGGGCAGGGAGGGGGTGCCCCTCGGTCTTGGGACCAGCTGGAGACATGGAGAGGATGATTCGACTTTGCCGCGTCCGCTGTGTGTCTACACTGACCCCCTGCTCCGTTCCTCCCCACCCTCCGTGCCACGGCCAATGGGGCCATGGTCCCTCAGTTTCCAACGTCCACAGGGGGGAACTAGAAGTGGGGGGCAGGGGTGGGGTGCGGGGCCTCCCTTTAGTAAAGAAGGCCATTCCACGGGTCTGGGTGGGGGGGCGTGCTTCTGCTTTTGTTTTCTGAAACGCGAGCAGGAGGAGGGTGTGTTGGGTGTCAGCAGCCGTTCTGGCTGCCCAGCGTCCGACGCCCCCGCCCCCGCCCCGGGTGGGCCTTTGCCGCCCCCGCCCTCGGCTCTGAGGCCAGAACAGTCCAGATGCTTGTTCTCTCGGCCGGCAAGGAGGGGCAGGCACGTGGCCTGGGCTCGGCCACTCAGAGGCTTCCACCGGGGACTCGGCCTGGAGCGTGTCACAAAGAGCAGGGGCAGTTTGGAATTCCTGCTGGCGGTGGGGCGGCGTCCGGCACCCAGAACCCCGCTGCGGCCTCCAAGCCGGGTCCCCTGACCTTCCCCTGGACCCCGCAGCCCGGGCGCCTCCCCGGCACGGCCCTCTCCTGCCTGCCCAGCCCTGCGGCGGCGCGGCTTTTACTGTGGTCCGGCGGCCTGTTGCTGGCGTTTAGGTGGTTTCCAGTTTTCCTTTCCTGCGGACGGGCTGGGATGAGAATGCTGTCCCCCGCCCATGCACGCGCACAGGGGTTTCCGGAGGAAAGGCTCTCGCTCTGCCCTTCCTGCTCCCCGGCCCCCCCTCCCAGCGCCCACACGCCGCTGCCCCTCAGGCTCCACGCCCAGCCCGGGTCGGTCAGGTTGGAGACCCCACCCACCCATCCACCCACCCGAAGGTGGTCCAGCCCGGTCCTGCCCTGCGCTTGTACCGGGGTCCCCAAGGGGCGAGACCCCTCGACCCCACTTTGGAACTGCCTGCTCCAGGCAGGGATGCCTGTTTGCTGTCGCCCCGCCCGCCCGCCCGCCAGCCCCGAGCGTCACAAGGACGGGGCGCTGCCTGCCTCCTTCTCTGTCCCCAGAGCCCGGCACGCCCGCTGTCAAACACAGCGTGGACTGAACACTCTGTGCACAAACAAACGAACGTGGGAGTTGCAGTGGGATTTTAATGACCTCAGGCCGGCGACGGTGGAGGCTGGGGGCTGGAAGGGCTGGCGGAGGCCCGCAGTGGCCTGGCGCCAGCCCTGTTGCCTCCCGACCTGGACACCAGCGGGCAGGGGGAGAGCTAGGAGCTAGTGCAGAACGCTAGTGAAACCTTCCAGTAATTTCTTTCAGCTCAGGGAGATCAGGGGAGCAGGGGGACATCTGGTGGCTGGTCGGCGAAGGCGGCTGCAGAGAGGAAGGAGGCAGGGAGGGGCGGCCCTCCGCACGGCCCCCCGGGGTGTGCCTGGCCGAGCGCCTACCACGCCGTGTTGTCACGTGTGTTGTCTGCGCCTGTGGAGTTGGTCAGGTAGAAGGGACGGATGACCGCCCGGAAGCTGCTGAAGGACCCCGTCGGGCAGGGGAAGAGGGAAGCGCTCCTGGAACCGTTGTTGTCCAGGGCGCTGGGGATTGTGGCCTTGGGGCCCTCGAAATCGGACACGTCCGCCACGAAGCGCCCTTCGCAGAGCATCAGGGCTTTGTTTCCGTAGCCGATGGTGGGGTCCGAGTAGCCGGACTTGGAGAGGCCCAGCGCGGGGAGCTCGTCCGAGGAGCAGGAGAAGCCGTAGTTCCAGCAGCTCTGCACGGTGGGGAGGTAGGCCAGGGACCAGGACACGCTCTTGGCCTGGAACAGGAAGCTGGGGTGCGGTGGCGTCTGGAAGGACTGGTAGGGGTAATACCTGTAGCTGGAGGAGCCTCGGCTGTGACCGTAGGAGTAACCGAACGGAGTGACACGCTGCGACCGCTGCACATTCCGGGAATTGGCCGTCACGGAGGCGCTCCAGGTGGGCGAGGTGTAAATGCGGGGCTTGTACGCGTCCTCGGAGAGGTTCAGGCCTTGGTACCGGGCCAGCAGCGGGAAGGGCACGGTGTGGAACTCGAGGGCCTGCAGGGTCTTCCTCCGGAACAGGGCCTCGTGAGCGCCGTACAGGGACAGGTTGAACTGCAGCTCAAAGAGGTCCTCGGGCGGCACCATCGGGAAGCGGACCATCTCCAGCAAGCCCTCCACCTCCCCGCGGGAGGCGCGCTGCTCCCAGCTCCAGACGTCCAGGGCCTTCAGCAGGGCCAGCTCGCTGGGCACGGCCAGCTCGCTCTTGGGGAGCAGCACCTGCAGCAGGGCTGTGGGGACGCTGGGCCAGGCCTCGGCCTGCGTCAGGGCCTCGAAGTTCCAGGACAGGAACCGCACGCAGAGCTCCTCCAGCCGGGGGTCCCCGGTGGCCAGTGCGTAGGCGTAGAGGTCCAGGGGCGTCCGGAAAGAGGGGTCCTGGGGCAGGAGGCTGGCGAAGAGGCCGGCGCAGAACTCCTGCAGCTGCGTGGCCCCGTAGGCGGACGCCAGCTTGTGGAAGCACTTGACCGACGACGGGGAGATGTCGATCCTGCGGGAGTAGAAGTACCTGGGGAGGGGGAGGGAGAGCTGACGCCTGCCCCCCGGGACGGCAGGGCGCCCGGGCCTGCCGCTCCCGCCCTGCATCACCACGCATTCGGGATCACGAGTGCGCCCGCAGGTGAGTGGTGTGAGTGTGCGCATGCATGTGCATGTGTGTGCGTGAGTGAGCGCATGTGCATGTGTGTGCGTGAGTGAGCGCATGAGTATGCACATGCGTGTGCATGTGTGTGCATGAGTGAGCACATGTGTGTCTTGCTGTGACCAGTGCCCTCACCCCTTACTCAGTGGGTTGTGCTTTCCAGGAGGGGAGGGGGACAGAGCCCCTGGGGGCAGGGCACAGAGGTGCGCCCGCCCCTCCCCCACCCGTGCAAGAGGACGGTCACCTGAGGAAGTCTCTGACCACGGTCATGCACTCGGCGTCCACGCTCATGCTGACGTTGCTGCCCGGCTCCCGCCACAGGGCCTGGGCCTCGGGGTTGGAGGTCAGGATCAGGGTGTGGGCACAGAGGTCCAGCACCTCCTCCTCCTCCTGCACCTGCACCTGGAGGGACAGGTCGCAGCCGAGCTGGCTGTCGAAGATCTGGCCGAGCGCATCGGAGAGCTCCCCGGAGAGGTCGAGGGTGTGGCTGCGTCTGGTTTCTGGGGAGGGGCGGAGGGGCATGCGCTGCATTAGGCGGCCGGCTCTGTCGCTCGCTCGCCCTGGCTCTGGACACCCCTGTTGCCCTCGGGGTCAGCGTCCTCATCTTAAGTCGCAGGGTCAGCGCCGGCCTCCACCGCTAACGGCTCCTGGGAGACGAGGGGCAGGACAGACGCCCGAGGCCCCGCCCACCCCTGGGGCCCTGGCCAGCCTCTCCCTCTGCTCCTCTCCCCGCATTCAGGGGCACCTGGGTGGGGGTTTGGGGTGCTGAGCGCCAGGCCCCAACCTTTCAACCACCAACCAAGCAACCGCGCCGACGTCAGCCCAAACCACCTGCCTGGGTGGATGGCCTGAACAGTTAGGGTCCCATGGCAACCCAATTTTAGGACTTTGGGGATCCCTGAGAAGCCTCCCGCGATGCATGAGGCCTGAGAAGTCATGAGAGGCTTCCTGGCGTGGGGGAGTCAGGGGGACGCACCCTCCTCCCCCCTCAAATTCTAACTTGAAACTAAACCCCCTCGGTTCCTCCTTTGCCCCAGTAGGTCTGCAGCCCCTGACTCTCCTCGGCCAACTCCAGGGCCTCCCAGCTCTGGGCTCCGGCCATTGCCCCTCCGGCCTCGGGCTGCCCTGCCAGAGGCCACTGTTGCCCTGGCCACGACCCTCCCCAACACAAGTCCTCCCCTCCAGCCAGGCTCGCTAGGTCCGTCCCCCTGTGCCCCAGGGTCCCCAGCTGGGCGCAGAGGGAGGTGTCCGGGAGTGCCCCAGGCCTGCGCGCCAGCCCGGAGGAGCCACGGCTGGTGGGGAGGGCAGGAAGGACAATAGACGCAAACCTGCACCAGCCTGGGTGCCCTCACGCCTTGCACAGGTGTGTGCCTCACGTGGGGGCATGCTGGGAGGGGCGGGGGCTCCGCAGGACCCAGGGCGGGTCGGGCTCAGGATGGAGGCGTGGGCCCCGCTCACCGTTGGTGCAGACCACGCCAGCGTCCCTCTCGTGCCTGCAGTTGCTCTTCAGCCAGCCCAGGGACCTGCAGTCGGCCAGCGAGGGCTCGTTCCCCGTGCACTCGACCTCGTCCAGCATGACCGGGCCCCTTCCTGTGGGCACAGCGGGGGTCAGAGGCCGGGGCTGCGCGGGGAGGGCCCTGCCGCCCGGGCCACTCCTCTTAGAGACGTGGCAAGAGTGGTCGCAGTCACTGCACAGGAGCGGGGACGTCTCAGCAGGGAAAGCCGCCAGCCACCCTGCGGGCCCCTCCCCGGCGCGTCCGTCGTGTGGGGGTCTCCTGCGTGGACATTCGCGTGTGGGTTTGGATCTATTACACCGACGTCACGCCATAGACCCAGCCTCGTTCTTACGAGGTCTAGCGGCTGCTTCAGAGGCAGCAAGCCCACAGACCACAGTCCGTGCCGCTGTGCCCGTTGCTGAGTATTTGGATCATTCCCTCCTTTCTCAGAATTGCAGCCCCTGCGTCAGTGGAAATCTTCCTGCAGACAGATGTTTGAGGAAGATGAACTCCCCTGAGCAGGGTTTCTGGGCCGGAGGGAAGGAGAGCGCAGGAAGCCCGAGCGGGCGCCCGCCGCCCGTCCCGGCAGAGCGTGGATGTTGAAGACGCCGCAGGCGCCAGGTTGGCGGGGTCCAGGCTGCACGTCTCTGACGTCGGGACGGGGGCGGGTTCCCTACCTTGCCCGAAGGCAGCTCTGCCCAGAGCCTCGGTGGCGTTCTCGAAGCCCAGGGCCCGGCACACGACGCCGGCGTCGGTCAGGTCCCACAGGTTGTCACACACGGTGCCCCACTGGCCTCTGTAGAAGATCTCCACGCGGCCCTGGTTGGCGGCGCCCCCGTCCGCCAGCCGCATGTCGCCGTCGCTCTCGCCTGCGGGCAGGGGTGGGCGCGGACCGGGTGGGCCACGGTTGGGCAGTGCACGGCCCACACTGCCGGGGGCGCGTGTGTGCCCCGCTGGTGGCAGTAAAGCTCTCCCCAGCTAGGGGCGACCTGCCGAGCTTCTCTGCCAGCTCTTTGGCGTCCCCCTACCCTTCCGTGCGGAGGAGCGGAACGTACGTGCAGCCCTGCCCAGGCCGAGCGCCCTCTCCCTGGCCGTGAGCCCTTCTGCACAGACGGGGAAGAGGCAGAAGGAGCCCCCGGTTCTCCAGCACCTGACGGTGGAGGGGCAGGAGGCCCGTGCTGACACCGCCTGTCTGCAGTTTGGGGGTGCTGGCCCACAGCGCCCAGAAACACACAGAATACTCCCATCTAGGGAAGGGCATCCTTGGCCCATAACACCCCCGCCCCTGCTGGTGCTGCCAGGGTCGGGCAGGAGCCGGTGCCTGGGCTCCAGCACCATCCGTGACAACGGGCGACACTTGGCTGTGGGTTCCCCTGGCTTCCGTGGGGTCACGGTGTGCACAGCACAAGGAAAGAGGCCAGGGACCCTGCGGAAGCTGCTGACCTCACGACGCACCCAGCTACCGGCTGGTTTGATCACCCCATTTGTTCCCACCGCTGGAATGGAGGACTCCTTGGCATCCTCTCCATAACCTGCATCTCACCTGAGCCCAGGTGAGCCCTGGTCCCCCCACGACCTACAAGCCACCACCACTGGGGCTACCCAGGCTTCACGTGGGAGAGAAGACCCGCTGATCCCCGCACCCAGGCGCCCGGCGGAACGTCTCGACTGTCTGCGAGGAGAGCGCCAGCCCCAGACCTCGGGCGCAGCCGTCAGACGAGCTTTCGGCATTTCCCAGCGGCTCGACCCACCTTGAGCCCCTACGACCAGCAGCCACATCCAGAAGAGCCGTGGGAGGGCCATGGCCTTGCCTGGAAGCTCCGGTCCTACAGCAGAAGGAAGCGGCAGAGTGAGACGCCAGCATGCGGCAGCCCCAGGACAGGGCACTGGTCTGCCACCGTCCTTCGGTCCGACTTGTGGCCGGCGCGCCGTGTGGCAGGCGGGGGGAGGGTCCCCCTCCTGCAGAGCCGACCGCACCGCAGGTGAGTGTGATGGTGCTGTGGACGTGGAGGCCCTGGCGCCGCGGGCGCCCCAGCAGGAGCCTCGCCTGGTCTGCAGGGTGGTCCTCGCAGGGCGAGGCTTGACCACACGAGGGGTGGTTGGGGTGTCCCTGGAAGAGGAGCCCAGAGGCGAGTGAGCCGCTCTCAGAAACCAGGCCCTGGGTGGGGCCGCACGCGGCGGCGGTTGGGGAGGGTCCAGAGGCTTGGGACAGCCGGGAGAAGGACTGGGCCTTATCTTCAGGGCACAGATCCCTGCGAGTGCCCAGCGGTTGGTGGCAAAGATGAGTCTATGGCTTCGGGGGTAGATGGGAAGGGTCCCACCAGGAGGAGGCCACAGGAGGTGGGAGCTGTGTGGGGCTCCGGAGGACGGAAGGGGGCGGTGGAGGGGAGAGGGCAGGTCTCTGTGCCCCTGGGGGCATGTCTGAGACCCAAGCTTCTGGAAGAGCGGTGGGGCGCAGGGTGGACCTGACGTGACCCCAGGACATCAAAGCTCAGAGGACCCAGGTCTCTGGCTTCTGGCCTGGCATTCTTGCCTCTATGTAACTTTTATTTAAAAAAAATTTTTTAATGTAAGAGGCAGGGTCTTGCTTTGTCTCCCGTGCTAGAGTGCAGTGGTGTCATCATAGCTCACTGCAGCCTCCAACTCCCAGGCTCAGGTGATCCTCCTGCCTCAGCTTCCCGGGTAGCTGGGACTACAGGCATGGGCTGCTGCGATGGGCTGATTTATTTTTTTTCAGTAGATACTATGATGCCCAGGATGGTCTCCAACTCCTGGCCTCAAGTGGCCCTCCTGTCCCAGCCTCCCAAAGTGCTGGGATCTCAGGCGTGAGCCACCAGGCCCGGCCTCTATGTAATCCTCGACACTTGCTTTTCATCCTCACCTGCAGTGACCGCCGTCTCCCCTGCTCCTGCCCCTGCCACCTGCGTGGAGGGAGTCCTGGGACACCTGGCACCATGCCCTGCATGTAGCGAGCAGGGACTGGCAGCTGGTGGTGCTGCTGTGGCCCCGGCTACAAGTCAGGACGCCCCGGTGACCTCGAGACAGCATGCTTGTCCCTCCCGCTCAGAGGGCGCCCGGTGGACGGCAGCAATGGGGTCCCCCAGAGCTTGCTGGGAACGTGAGTAGTAGCCTCACCCCAGTCCCTCTGCACCAGAACCTGCACAGACGAGACCCCTCTCCAGGACAGCTCACACACCTGCTGGAGGCTCCCTGTCACCCCTGAGAACCGCCTTGTGACACCCACTTGCCAGGGGAATGAGCTGAAGCCCAGAGAGGGAAACTGGGCCCAAGCCACAGCTGGGGCCACTTCTCGCTGCACCCATCTCAGTAGATGGCTGAAGGGGCCAGGATGACCAACTGTCCCGTGTGCCAGGGACTGTGCTGGCTTTAGCGCTGGAAGTCCCATGTCCTGGGAAACCCCCCAGTCCCGGGCACACAGGGATGGCTGGTCACCTCCCTGCTGCAACCACCAGGTTTGCTCACACTGGGACGAGAACTCAGGGCCTTGGGAAAGTGGCCAACCAGGCCCCAGCTCGCGGCACGCAAGTGTCGCTGCCCTTTGGGCGGCGGCTGTTTGTTTTTGCCGGTTTCCCTCATGTGGGATGTTGGGACGAGGCTCCCATATGTGGGGCCCTATATGGCACCCTTGCACGAATCAGAAAAAGGCGTTCTTCCTGGGGGGGGGCGCTTGGCTAGGCCAGAAGGCACAGACCTGAGAGAGGGCCAGGGGCTAAATCCAACCCACGCGCCCCTGTCGCTGGTGTCCTTGTGCAGTGAACAACCTGCCCAGCTGTACACAGAGGCCTTGTGGATCTGGGGCAGCAGTGATTTCTGGGCTCTGGAGCACTGGGTCCCCAGCTCCAGGTAGAGAGGGGGCGCCCACCTGAGAGGCAGGGGCTTACCTGAGGGAGGCCGCTGTCGATGGCTGTCCTGCAGGTCCTACCTTCCTGCACAGGGGCGCTCTGTGGACCAGTCTCTCAACCCAGGAAACCCTCCCCAAGTGGGGTGTGACCAGACAGATCCCAGGAAATGCTGCAGAAAACTGAGTCTGGTTTCGATTTCTAGAAACCAGCTGACGTAGATTTCTCCTGGGGTTGGCTGCTGAAAATACTCCCTGGGACCCCTCCTCCTCCTCCTCCTCCTCTTCCTCCTCAGCTCGGCCTGTGTCCTGCGGGGATCCGGCCTGGCAGCGGCCCAAGGCAACAGGAAGACTGACAGCCTGGCTGAAGTCTAGGGGCTGGGATTTGAGGGCAAGGGGGCAGGGAGTGGGGACTGTGGGAGGAAGCAGAAGCTCTTTGTCCAGACAGTCTGCATCCGGCAGTGTGGCCGTGACTCTTGTGGGCCCTCAGCCCTTCCCTCAGCCCTGTCCACGCTGCCCTGCGCACTGGGCGTGCAGACTGGGTGCACTGTCCCCCGACGGCTGGGAGGGCCGAGGCCCCGGCGTGTGGCGGCCAGGGAACGGCCGAGCCCCACTCGCAGCGCCCGACTCCAGAGCCTGTGCCGTCGCCACCGGACTGTGGCGCTCTCCACCCTCTCCTGACGTCTGGGGTTGCTCTCCGGGCGTCTCTCCCATGGTGGGGCAGGGGACACACATGGCTCCGTCCAGCCCACACCCATTCCTTTTCAGGAAGGCAGCGCCTCAGCGTTCCCCTGGGGAGCACCCTCTCTCACTCCCGGCCGTGGGGCTCCCAGAGGGCCTGGGCGTGGCCCTCCAAGCCCTGCAGGCCCCACAGCCACAGGGACGGTGGCAGGGAGGAGCCGGCTTCGGGCCGCGGCCAGCGCCAGTTTCGTTGGGGCAGGGCAGAGAGGCCGGGTGACGCCGAGGCCGGAGCCCCTGGCCCGGCTAGCGACGGCCGTGGTCAAGCCTTGGGCTTCACAGCTCAGTGAGGGGACCAACGTCCTCTCGGGCCTGCCACTTGCATCCTGAGGGTTGGGACGAGGCCGTTCCCTTGGACTGTGCCTGGGTCTGACTCGAGAGATCGCGCTCCCCGGAAGCTCTGGTTCGCTGGCAGCGTAGAGTCCGGGGGAGCAAGCCCGGACGGAGGTCAGAGGGCCAGTGGCTTCTCCCCCCAATCCAATCTCCTCCAGAGGACCTGTGAGGACCCGGGGCGGAAGCAGCTGGAAGAAACGGGCATAGGAGTCGGGGGAGCTTGAAGATCCGCTGAGATTCAGGGCGGCGGTGCCGGGGGAGCACCCACAGCATCTCGTGTCGTCTCCAGTTACTTTCCCCGAGTAAGTGGCCGGCAAGGGGCAGGCATGCAGAGGACAGGAGCACACCTTTGAGGAGTGTGGCGGGGATGTTTGAAAACCCAGGGTGCTGACCCTTCAGCCCCAGCGCCCAGCAAAGCCCTGCACGCCCTGGCGTGTGAATTGTAAGGCCCGGAGGCCTCATCGCGGGGTCAAAAGCACAGGTGTGTGCCGCCCTGGAGCCCGCAGGGCCCTGCCAGCCCCCAGACGCCCACGGAGCAGCCGTGGAGGGGTGAGATGGCCGGCCCGCCTTCACTGAGCGCGTTTAACACTCCCAGCCCCGTGGGAAACAGCTGCGCTCCTTTCTCCCTTTCGCAGAGGGGAAAACAGAGGCTCGGGAGGCAAAATAATCGGCCGAGGTATGCAGCTGGAAGGGGGAGAGCTGGGATTCGAACTCACACTTTTCTTTTTAAAAATTGGCTTTATTGGCCAGGCGCGGTTGGGAGGCCGAGGCGGGCGGATTGCTCGAGGTCAGGAGTTTGAAACCAGCCTGAGCAAGAGCGAGACCCCGTCTCTACTATAAATAGAAATTAATTGGACAACTAATATATATAGAAAAAATCAGCCGGGCATGGTGGCGCATGCCTGTAGTCCCAGCTACTCGGGAGGCTGAGGCAGGAGGATCGCTTGAGCCCAGGAGTTTGAGGTTGCTGTGAGCTAGGCTGACGCCACAGCACTCACTCTAGCCTGCGCAACACAGCGAGACTCTGTGTCAAAAAAAACCAAACTGGCTATATTGAGGCCTAATTTACCTGCAGCAGAACGCATGGAGTTTCTGAGTTCTGGCAAATGCGTACAGGTGGTCCTGTGACCGCCACCGTGGCACGGGACATTTTCAGCACCCCCAGAAATTCTCTTCCGCCCCCTGCAGCCAACTCCCAGCCGACTCCGTCACCACGGCATCACCTCTGCTAGGACATCAACTAAGCGGGGTCACGCGGGGTGTGACGTTTTGTGTCTGGCCTCTTATGCTTTGCTCAGCGCTTCCGAGACTCAGCACGTTGTTCCAGAACGGGCGACTGCTCCTGTCTTTGCGGAGGAGGAGCCCACGGCACGTGTCACCCATTTGTGCACGGATGGACGCTGGGGTCGTTCCACGTTTCGCTGTTAATATTATGCATGAAGCTGTTAGGAACGCTTGGAACCAAGGTGTGTGTATCTTTTGCTTAAACACCTAGGAGCGGGATCGCTGGGTCACATGAAAGACGCGCGTTAATTTTTTAATAAACTGCCCGACTGCTTTCCAAAGTTGCTGAACCATTCATTTTACGTCCCCCCTAGCAATTTATGAGTGCCCAGTGGCCTAAATCCTCACCAGCACTTGGCGTTGCCATTTAAACCTCATCTGTTCTAGCAGGTGTGCAGTGGAATGATGACCAGCGATGCCGGGGATTTTCCGTGTGCTCATCTGTCATTCATATATCCTGTCGACGTCTCTGTTCAAACCTGATGCATGTCTCTACACTGGGCTGCTCGTTGTACGAGTTCTTTATATATTCTGCCCCTTCTGCAGATATGATTTACAATTTTCTTTTTTTTTGAATGAAAAACTTGCCTTTTCATTTCCTTAACAGTGTCTTCTGAAGAACAAAGGTTTTGAATTTGGATGAAGCTCAACTTGTCAGATCTATGAAATCTTTGGTGTCAGATCTATGAAATCTTTGCTTAACCCAAAGTCACAAGGTTTTCTCCTGCGTCTTCTATCGGGGGTTCGAGACATCCCCGGTGAAGATAAGAGTCCCCTGGCAGGCTGTGTTGCAAGAGATGAGAAAAACAAAGACACAGACACAGAAATATCAGGTAAGAAAGCGGGGAGGTCGGGGGACCAACAGCACTCCGGTGCCAAGGTGGCGGTGACTGAACCCCAGCACTTGCTTTTTATTCTCTTTGCCATACTGCAAAATACAATGATCTCATGTGAAAAAAATCATGGGATACAATGATCAAAGGTTTCGGGGCTCCCCTCAAAATGACAAGGTGTCCTAACTTCCTTCTCTTTTCTAGAAGTGAAAAACACATAATTCTTCAGTAGGTACAACCTTTTTGATCAAGGTAAACTGATCTATCCCAAGCTCAAGCTATGTGCATGCATATCAATCTTTTGTCAGTAGCTGTGACCCATTTGATCAAGGAACAAGGAAACTACATGCTTCCCACTGGGAGACTGGTTTTACATTAACTGAGGGAGTGTTGAGAGAAAGGGAGGGAAGGAACCCGGCCTGGTGTTCTAACAATGGAAGCCTTGAGTCCCTCCTCCTGGGCTGACATACTGCAACCACCTCTACAGCCGTGAGAAGTTTCCATGCCAGGCCGCCCACGGCTTTTCATGCATGAGGCCCCTCAGGCTCTGAGGTTGGAGCATGCTTTGCTGCACTCCCAGACCGCTCATATATGTCCCCCAACCAGGCAGTTAACGTCTGCACTGATTTCAGGCTTCTGCTCAGGCAATTCCTCCAGTCTTCTTCTAGGAGTTTTGTAGTTTTAGCTCTTACATTTGGGTCTTCGATCTTTCCTGAGTTAATTTTGTGTATGGTGGGAGATAAGGGTCTTAATATGATGAATGTCATTGGTTGATATCAGAATATTCAACTAACCCTGCATTCTTAGGATAAACTACACTTTATCACGTAGGATTTTGAGTTTTAACTATTGCTGGATTCAAGTTGCTAATTTTTGCTAAGGATTTCTGCATCTATGTGCATGAGGGATATAGTCTGTATTTTTCTTTTTTTGTAGTATATTTTGTCTGGTTTTTGTGTCAGAGAAGAGGTGTCCTCATAAAATGAGTTGGGAAGTGTTTCCAGCTCCCAGAATCATGGAAGATTTTGGGTTGGCTTGGTATTCCTTCCTAAACATCTGGTATAATTCATCAGTGAAGCCGTCTTGGCCTGGGATTTTCTTTGTGTGAAGGTCTTTTATTTTTGCTTTATTTAAACATTTTAATAATTTTATTAAGGTATTAACATTTACCAAAGTGCACAGCACTGCAGGACTAACATTTGGAATGAAATAAACTCAATCTCATGTTTTTCACCCAGTTTGGAGATGACCTGGGGGTGTCTTCCTTCTGTGGAGGAACTGCTGGACACACATGCCGAGCGGGCACAAGTCACTGCCCCCGAGATCGCTGTGACAGGAGCTGGTCAAGACCTCACTTGCAGCTCGACTTGACGCGCTGGCTTTTCCCGGATTCGCCCTCCCGGGACCCTGGCCCAGGCCTCCCGCTCCTCCCTCCCTCAGTCTGACAGTCTCCAGGTCTTGCCTTGAGGCCCCTGCGGTATTCGTCCTCGAGGTGTCTCTTCCCTGCCTGCTGTGTGGGTCAGGCTCCCGGCGGGAAGCAGATGGCACCCCAAAATTAGGACCATCTAGGGAGGCCTCAGGGAGAGGACTGCTTACGTGGGCTGGGCGGGCGGGGAGCACAGACACCACAGGGGCAGTGTGGCATCTGGAGCTGCTATCTGTGCAGGTGTCACAGCCCCAGGCCAGAAGGGACAGGTGTGGGTGGGCAGCCCCTCAGGATGGAACTCGGGGCCCCCAGAGGGACCCGGAGCAGGCGGGGAAGGGGAGTGGGTCTGAAGGGACGAAAGGCCGGCGTGGCGGTGCCTGTGCGACACCACTCTCTTAGTTTCCTCCGTCCCTGGTTGCAAGCTTTCTTTTAGACCACTGCCTGCCTCTCGGTGCACCTGAGGTCTCGGCGCTGGGACTTCTGCACGTCCTTTGGAACCAACTACCTCATCCGGATTCGTCAGACGCACTGAGGACACCGGCCCGGCCCAGACCTCCCTCCCGAGCGCCTGCTCACCAAACCTTCGGACGTCTCCGTGGGCACGAGCCACGACACAACGGGTAGCCGAGGGTCTCTAAGACGTTCGCGCCCGCTCCGCCGTTCGCCCCGGCCCCACGTGCTAGCTCTGCGATCATCTCTCTGTTGCAGATGAGGACGTCGAAGCACAGGAAGGTCAGAGAAGTTGTCTGAGGACAAACCGCTGGGAAGGGACAGAGCCAGGACCGGAGCCTGCTGTGACCAGGACCCCGTGTCCCTCCCCGCTGCGCTCCGGCTCCTGCAGCCTCTTCAGACTGTGGGGCAAGCTGGGCTGGAGGACACAGGTTCCGGAGAGGCTGCCCTGGCCGGTGACAGTGCCCGTCCCCGGGACTCCCGTGGGCGTCGGGCGACCGTGTCACCTCCTCTCTCGCTCGCTCCTTGCCGTGCTCCGTGAGGGACGTGGTCCCCCCACGCACATGTGCTCCCTAGGGTAGTGCCCTCCTCAAACAGCCAACACAGACCAGGGCACGAAAGAGAACGCGCGTTCCCCTCACACACTTTATTGTTTACAAAACTCCGGTCGGGAGGAACACAACCATTATGCTCACAGTATCCGATACAGGGGGAGGGGAAAAGGCCAGCGCCCCGTATCTGCAAATCATCCACTGTGGAAATGCTGCATCCGGCACCTGGGCCGTGGCTCGGCCGCTGCGTCAACACATCCAGCCTTCCCGGTCTCCTCTCTGGTTTTAAAGTGACACAGCCAGAGCACCCTGGACAGTCGTGGAGGAGGCGCTTCAGAGCCCCGCCAGGCAAAGGTAGGACACACCTGGGTCTTCCGGGCTATGCCGGGGAAGAGGCGGGTTCTTGAGAAACGTGTCACTGTCAGTGACCTGCCTTTGCTTCCTCTGCTACTTGTTCTATAGCGGGAGAAACAGGCAGCAAGCGGGGTGGGGGGTCCCTCCTCTCGGCTGTTAGTTTCAAAGGGGACGAAGACAGGCACAGGCCGTCTGCCCCCGCGGGAGTCGGTGAGGTAGCTGCTGTGGGAGAGCGCCAGGGCCTCTCTGCTTCGGCTGCGCCAGGCTCAGACCCCACCCTGCCCTCACCCCGGAGCATCCAGAGAGACGGCAGGGACCGAGGGCCAGCCAGAGCCTGTGAGAAGGGTTTTCATGGAGGAGAGGGTGCAAAACTCCCACTGGGAAGAGGAGAAATAAAGACAAGGGAGGAGACCCCAGGCAGTGACAGGCCTCACGCGCAACCTCCAGGGAGGAGCGGCCCGAGGGTCCGGTCGACTGTCGGCCGGCCGGTCAGAAACTGGGCTCCCTCTTGAGCCAGGGATAAAAAATCCAAGTCTTAAGTCCTGAAAGGCATGACAATTTTTGATAGTTACTAGAAAAAGGCAAAGTTTTCTTTATCTTTGCATGTCGGCCAAGAACTCAGCAGCACTTGCTCCGCCCACTGTAACTGCCCCTATAGTCTCTGCTGCTGGGAAAACGTGTTAACTACAGGACTTTGCGGTGTGCGATAAGATCTGGAGAAGGGAAACTGCTTTAGTTAAAATAGGTTAATATTAAACCGTCAAAGTGCTACACGGCCACAGAATATTCCTTAAGGGAGAAACAGACGTTGGTGTAGGAGGTGGCGGGCCTTTCACGTGAGGCCTGGGAACCACAATCGGGCTGGGCTTGCGCCCTTCCCCCCGGCAGCTGTGTCTAGACACGTCCCCAGGGCCCTGCCGCTCACACAGCCCTGTCACTGCCGCTCACACAGCCTGTCGTGGCCTGCATCGCAGACTGTCCTTCCCCACGGATCTGCAGGTGGACATCGTGCCCCGGCCCACAAAGTGGGAAGACAGGGCATGGCCTGGGAGTTCCCAGCAGGCAGATCCAGCTTGTACTCACTGGGTTCCGGGGGCCGGGGTACAGTGCTTGACACATAGCAGGAGCTCCTGGAATTTTATTGAACAAAAGAACAAATGGGAAGAAAAGAAAGGGAGGTCGGATGGAGGAGGGTGAGGCCGAATTCCAAAGGCCGTCCGATCAAGACGCCTGCAGTGATGGATCTTACCACCAGGTGGCAGCGCAGGGCCACGCCCTGGCCGCGCCCCCAGACGGCGCGGAGGGTCCAGGACCTCGCCCTTCCCGGGCCGGGACTGAAGGCCCCACTTTGGACATCTCTCAGCCAGGCACGCACCTCACGGGTCCAAAAAGAAACAGTGCAGTTCTCTTGTTTTTATAAAATTTGAGTGCTGACGTAGCTTAAAACGGTCCACCCCTCTGCCTCGGTCAACGTCTTAAGTTTCACGATTTAAATAAATTCTATTCCTTCGTACTTCACACTCCCGATCTCGGTCTCCGGCAGGAGGAAGCGGCCATCGAGCGTGAAGGCCATGATGTAGGTGGCGATTTTGCCACTGTCCTCTTCGGACTTGAGGGCCACGATGATCTGGTCGTCGGTGTTGGGGATGAACTTGAAGGAGGAGAAGCCGTGCGTGGGCACCGCCTCCCCCACGTGGCTGACGGAGATGTCGCTGAAGTCCGGGGCGGCGCTCAGGAGGAGGTTGGCGCCCTTGCGCTCGTCGCCCTTCTCGCTGTAGCGCTCGTGGCTGGCCCGGCGCGGGAGGAAGAACCAGCGCTGCAGCGTGTCGCTCCAGCAGGCGGACTCGTGGATGAGGTAGCCTGGGGACGCAGGACAGACCCACAGGTCACCAGGCGCGCGGGCGGGGACGGCGCCAGGCACTGTGGGGCGTGAGGTCCGTCGGCCCGCAGTGGCCTCCCTGTCCCCGGCTCCCCGGCTGACTTTGGGCCCGGTCACCCAGGGCAGCAAGGCCCAGGCAAGCCCGACTCCGGGAGCGACTCCCCGAGGCCCTCAGCCGCCTCCCCCAGGGCTGCCAGCAGCCACGCCAGCGGGAGCAAGACGTTTCCCTGCTGCTGACCAAAGGGCACGGAAGGGACAAAGAGCCCAGGATGCACAAGGGCACAGATGGCGGGAAGCATGAATGGGGGGTGGGGGCTGCTCTGAGGCTGAAGGGAGGAGTCACCCCTTCCCGTCTCAGGATGGGAAGATGCCTGCCGACAGTTACTGCTCAGTCACGTCCTCCCGAACCTCGGCTCTCAGAAGGGAGGACGACGACGGAGCACCGTGGCCCCCCAGCAGTGCGGCTGGGGTGGGGGGCCCAAGCCAGAACTAGCTGGAGCCGACCCTGGGGCTGCGGCAGGGTTGGCGGGAGGGGGTCTTGTTGGGCAGGTCGGGGAGGAGCGAGAAGACCCACCGGCCTGAGGGGAGCCACTGGCAGGCGGTCACTGTCATCCAGGGCAGACACCTTCCCAGGGCGCTCACCTGGCGGCCGGATCCCAGCGGCGGCCCTCAGGGCGTTGTAGCCGGACACCCAGTTCTCGTGGTCCACGCTGCCTCTGTGGCCCACCACCTTCACCCACTCCGGGTTCTCGTTCACCACGTCCCCCGTGGGGGTGGTCCACTCCTTGCCCAGGCCGCCCACGTACAAATGCTCGTCCTTCACAGCCAGCCACTCGGCCTTGAAGCCTGACCAACGAGAGCAGGGGGCGCCTGGGACCACGCGCCCGGCTCCCGCCGGGGTGGCGCGGCGCAGGCCCAGCAAGACCAGGGAGTGTCACTGGCGGTCATGGCGGCGGGGGCAGGCAAGCCTGCACAGGGCCCCTGCCTCGCCCCCTTCCTGCTCCTCCCTTCCCTCAGCCCCAAAACGCCCAGCCGACCCCCAGAGCCCCCGCCCTCAAGCTGTAACCCTCAACTTCAAGATTATTCTCAGATGCTAGGAAAGCTTCAACAGTGACAGCTCTGAAGTGCTTGTCCCAGGAGAACCTGCGCTGCCCTGGCGGCCACGCCTGGCGTCTCACCGAGGGGCCGACGATGCCAGCGGCCGCAGCAGGCTGAGAGGGGCCTGGTGTTGGGGCTCCCCGTCGCCACGTCAATGGTTTGCTCAGAAGCTATTATTTATTCTCTTAAACTGATTTATTTCGGCCTGATTGTGAAGGCTGCCACGCAGCTCAGGCTGAGGGAACTTTTGCAGTTCCAGCATGTTCTCAGCTGTCCCTGCACCCGTGCTCTGACATACGCTTGCTTCCCCAAGCCCTGCAAGCTTCCTGCCCCCTGAGCAGCTGGAGCTGCACCCCTCACCCCCACAAGGTGGCAGCAGCTTCCCTGCAGGTGGCTCTGCTGGGAACTGCTGGATTCTGGCGGCCCCAGCGACATCACCAGTCTCCTGAGCCACGTCTGCTATAAGATGCTCTCTTTGATGGGGTCACCTGCCCCTGGGTGAGCTGCCCGCAGGCTAGGCCCCTAGACGCCCAGACTCCACTTTCTTCCCCATCCAAGTGGAAGAACAGAACACGAGGCAGGAAGTGGGCGACCAACGTGTTCTCCAACACCCAGGCTGAGATGCTCCCTGCCCGCGACCACGGCCTTGGGCAAACACTGAGGATCTTATGGGGGGGGGAGGCTGCCACATGGCCAGCTATTCAGTGCAATTCCTCCTCTGACCACAGGAAGTGTGCAGTGGCGCTTAGGTTTCTGGGAGGTGCAGATTCACCACCGGGCACCCACGGAGCCGTCTGCCACTCTTCTGCCCATGTCCCGCCCCTCCTCGTTTGAAGGCTCTGGGCCACGGCGGTTCCGCCCGGTCGCCTGGCTCCTGCCCTGTGGCGGCAGCGACTCCCTCGTGGCGAACAACGGGCTGAGGTCAGGCTCCACGACAGGGCGTCACTGCCGCTGGCACACGCCCTCCTTCTGCTGGGTTTTCAGAGAGGGAGGGCTGGGCAGCAGGAGCTTGCCTTTTTATTAAAAAATAAACCAAAATCAAAGCCTTGGTTCAAAATGAGAACCATGTGATGCCATGGCTTTCAAGGTAGGGCGCCTGGTGGGTTTCATCCCAGCATGATCCCGAGACACCTTTGTGACGTTAAAAAGGGACAGGTTCTTGGGGGGCAGTCAGAGCAGCAGTGGATGCAGCCCTAAAACTTATCCCAGAAAGACTCCCCACTTCTCTGGCAGGCCTGTGGCCACAGCCTGCACTTCTAGAAACTGCTTTGGTGTAAAGTGGCGGAGGCTTTTGCTGCCAGCTGGGGGCGGGTCAGAGCAGGAGGGAGGGGCCTGGCCCCACGTCCCTGCCTTCCGGGTGTGTGGATTTTCCACCACACGCATGCACGCGTCACTTTTCAGTTGCAAACCAGCCAGCCAGCCAGCCCCAGACACCCCACCTGACCTCAATAAGGCCTGGGTGCAGAGGAGAGCCCCTCGCCCCCCCCCACCTCCGTAAGGCCTGCGCACAGAGAGCCCGGCCCCTTTACCTTTCTCCACCGTCCCGTCGCCGTCAGACAGGATAACCCAGGGCACGGCCTTGGCGCCTTCGATCTGGTAGACGACCCCCGTCCGGTCGTCCACGGAGTAGAGCTTCCCATTGAAAACGATCAGATCCGAGAGCTCCATGCCCCTCCCCTTTTCCGCCAGGTGGGACTCCAGGACCCTGTGTTCTCTGTCCCACTCCACGGCCACTTTGTCCCCACTGTCTGACAGGGTCAGGTAGCCCTTTTTCAGGTAACTGAACCAGGTGTTCTCCTCTTGGGCCCGTGACTCTGTGTCCAGGTCAGCAATGACCGCGATCCGGTACCGAATCCCCCCCGGCGTCCTCTGGGGGGCAGACAGGGGGTAGGTGTCATTGTACCGGTCGGCGAGTGCCTGGCTGAGCCTCCAGTTGTGTGCGTTGTGGGTGGGGGGCCTGCCTGGGGACGGGCGGTGGGAGTAGAGCAGCCAGAGGACGGCGGCGCCCACGAAGGATGGCAGGATCACCCTCCAGCGGGGGCGGAAGCGGGGGTCCGCGGCCTTCGTCATGGACGCCAGCACAGGAAGGCCCCCCACACTGATCCGGAGGGAGTGCATAGACTCATTCCATTCCAGGCGGTCGGGGGGCTGGACGGGCATCAGACTGAAGGTCGGGCGGGACCTGCAGAGCCAGGGAGAGGACAGGTCAGCCACCAGGAAGCACGGCTGCTTCTTAGTTACTTAAACCTGCACGGCCCGGCGTGTGGCGTGTCTGGGAGAAATGGTATTTCCATTACTTTGTGGCCATTGTTACTTCCTTGGCTTAATGAAACCCTGACTCTGGTATCAGTAACTCTAAAATCTCTCAGTATCTTTGTTTCAGCAAGATGTGAAGTCTTCCTAGAACAAAATTATTCCACTGCCTGCCCCTGTCCCAGCTGGCAAGATAGAAAGCTAGTGAGAAGAAGGCCGGGTGCGGTGGCTGATGCCTGTGATTTCTGGGAGGCCGGGGCGGGAGGATAGCTTGAGCTCAGGAGTTCGAGACCAGCCTAAGCAAGAGCAAGACCCCGTCTCTACTAAAAGTAGAAAAAATTAGCCAGGTGTTATGGGGCACGCCTGTAGTCCCAGCTATTCGGGAGGCTGAGGCAGGAGGATCTCTTGAGCCGAGTCTGAGGTTGCTGTGAGCTATGATGACACCACTGTGCTCTAACTGGGGAGACAGAGCAAGACCTGTCTATTAAAAAAAAAAAAAAAGCTAGTGAGAAAAACAAGTTTTGTGTAGGTTGGTGCTTTGCGATCTCCCTAAAGAAGAGCCAGATAGTCATGGTGCGAGGGGCATGGGGAAGAAGGTTGCAGGGGTGTGGTGGGATAGGGTAACAGAGAAGGCACAGATCTGTATTTCACTTAAATGCCTCCTCATCCAAGAAGCTCTCCCTGACTGCCCTGCTCCTGATATCACCCCCCATCCCTTCCTGGCGTTGGCCACCGGCTGCCATCACATTGCACAGAGCTCCCAAGGTTTATTAAGTGAATGAGTCTTTACTGCCTCCGGGTTGGGATCCTGTACATTTGCATATAAAACAGATTCCAACCAAACGGAAACACTTTTTGGTGGTGGTTGTTGTTTTTGGCAGCATCTGTCCTGCGGCCCCTTTCTATTAATGCAAATAGCTGCAGGAACCAGAGTCCCAGTGGCTCTTGCCGGGAGCCCAGGGTGTCTTGTCTGTGCTTTGGCTCCAAAGCACTGCTGGGCTCACCTCGGGCCTGGCTTGGCCCCAGGCCCCTCTGGCCACCCCCTCTCCCCGGTGTGGTGACTCAGCAGAGCCCAGGGTTGGGATGCTGGTGGTGGCCAGGAACTGCAGCCCGGCACGCCCACCCCCCACTTCCCACGCATAGAGCGTGACAGCTCAGTGTGGCCACAGGGGCGCCAGACCCATGTCCATCCCACCACGGTGGACAGCCGTCGGTCCCCAGGCAGCTGCCAAGTGCCACACTGGGACGCTGGGTGGCGGCTCCCGACTGCTTGGGAGAGCGGCAGAACGTCAGCCTCAGCTGCTCGCGGCTCTCGGCCCTTCAACTGCAACTCAACAAACCCCAGCCCGAGAAACTTCCCTCGCTGGACGGGTGGAGCATTCCTGCCTGCTCCTCCTCCAGGAAAACAACAAACATGTGACTTAATGGGCAGATGCTGTTTTCACTGCCAGGTGGCACCTGGGAAGGGTGTGGGGACTCCAGCGGCTCTGAGTGATCCTGGGGCCCCAAGTGTACCCCAATCCACACCTTTGCTAGTATTCAATGGCCACAGAGGCGCCCCCGCCCCACGCTGCTCAGCTCCGAGAAGATGCAAACACAGGGCATCAGCTCCACGGGGGAGCCTGTGACCCCACGCCTCTGCTGGACAGTCGTAGGTTTTCCCCGAAGGGTCAGGTTCAGGGAGTGAGTAATTCGCACGCGTGGGGCCGCTGCTTGGGAGGCCTGGGAGAAAATGCACGGACGGCACACGGGGCAGGCCTCCCAGGTGACAGCTGCCACTCGGGTGGTTATGGGCTGTCGTGAGGCCTTCCGGCTGGGGCTCGAATCCCCGGTGCTGGCCGCTCCTCCCCTGGCCACCCAGGCTTTGTCCTTCCCTGTCCCTTCTTCAGCCCCAAGGGTTCCAAACCTCAGCCAGGCCCAGGGCTCCTGGCGTCTTCTCTTCAGCCTGGACACTGCTGACGCTGAGCTTTTAAATCCTACACCGTACCTCCTATTCAAAATCCCACCTGCATCCCTATCACGCATCCCAAGAGCACTATTTCGAAATATAAATCCTATTTTCCTCTCCCCTCAAGCCTACTTGTCTCCAAATCTGCCCTGAGGAATGGTGGTGACCAGCAGCACGCAGCTGCCACACGTGGCTGCCGAAGTCAAAGCTCTCCTGGGAGCCCCGCGAGGTGTACTTTCCTAGCGCTGCACTTTGAGGATGTTAGAAACCACCGCCACCAACACTGCGGATTGGCCGATCCACCCTGTTTTCTCCCACGCCGACCGCACCATCAGGCCCATCCATGCCAAGCTGGGCCTCCTCTCTGTGGGTTCCCGGCCATTTCCACGGCCACGTCTCACCTGAACCTGCCAACAGCCTCCCTCAGTCCCTCCCGACAATCCCTCGCCACCCAACAGCCAGCTAGCGCCGCCGGCCACGGAGCCACGAGAGCACGACCCACGTTCCAGCTTCTGGGGCTTCCCTGCTCCAGGGCCAGCACCCACCCCGCCCCCACAGCCCACCTCTCCTCTGCTGGCCCGTTCTGTGGCCTGACATCGCCCGCCCTGTGCTCCCTCTGCTGGGGACACTCCAGGCCTGTCCTCCCACCCCTGGCTGTGCTCATCCTTGGGGCCTTTCTAGACGTCAGCTCTCCTGCCTGCCACCCTCCCTCAGGCCTCCAGCTCCTTTTCTTCCTCTCCCTTTCTGTGACAGGTGATGATTTACAATCACTGCTCCTGGGGCAGGGACCTGCCACGGTGACAGCCGAGCACCTGGACAACAGCCAGGCAGGAAGAAGTAACTCAGCACACATTTGCTGAAAGAACAGAAATGCCCTGGTGGCCACTGACCCCATCAATAGCCCCTCAGCGCTCTGCACCCTCGGGCCCTACCTTTGTCACACTGTGAATCCACAGCCCCGGATCAAGCCCTCGACGGTGGAGCTGCTCAGCGGCCACACCTGAGTGTGGGGCCAGGAAGACTGTGCCTGCCAGTGTAGACTGGGGTCAGGCATTGTGATGTGTCATCCTCACTGGCCCCTGGAACCCTCACACGCATCCCTGTTCAACCCCCCTGCATTCCAGAGTCACCACCCACACCTTTGCTGTTCTTGTCAACCCTTCGGCCTGCCTGCTCCCAGCAGACCACTCCGTGGCCACTGTTAGCCGGCAAGGCCCCCAGGTGGAGCCCACGCCCACGCCCTCCCTGCACCAGGGGAGGAGGGGCCCTCTCACTTGCTGCTGGGGGCAGCCCCTCTAGTGGGGGCACCGTCTCCTCCCGGCACAAACACGCCCGCCTTCAGGTTCCTGCCTCACGTCTACAGAAGGTCCGAGTCTCCCAGCTTGTCACTGTTTGACCTCCAGGCCCTGCACTCTCGGGGACGCTGCGGGCACTCGGCTGTTGCTGAGTGAATGAAAACCCTTGCCCCAGTCCCACAGCCCCGCTTACCATCCTGGCAGTGCGTCCACACCTTCCTCCTTCCCCCTTGGCTGCTCGCTGTGGCCTGCGTCTGCCCCAAGGAGCTGCCGGTCCACAGGCCTGCACCCGCCCGCCTGGCCAGTGAGCATCTGCCACGTGTTACCTCGCCGCCTCTCAGCGCCCGTCCCTCCCGAGGTTGAGGGTGCTCTCTGCTGGCCTCCTCGGTCCCTGAGGCTGCTATCTCTCCCAGTGACCTTCCTCAAGGCTCAGCCTCTGGATGAAGACCCCCCCCACGTCCACGCCTCTCTAGCCTGACCCTTTCCCGAATTCCAGACCTGGTTCAACCTGTGGGCCTCCCCGCCCGCTGCCCTGCAGGCTCCTCAAACAGGCTCCTGCCCAGGAACGCCCTATCCCGGCAAGGACACCCAGCCTCTGCTGTCCCCACCTGCTCCCTCACTGGCTCTCTCCATCACCCCATCCCAGTCTGGACTCAGTCCCCACAGCCCTTCCCTAGGCCCACCTCACCCAACAGCCCCTCACGATCCAGACCCTAGAGGTCCAGACCCTAGCTCTGCCACCTACCAGTTATGTGATCTCAGACAAGGGACTTCCCTTCTCTCAGCCTGTTTACGTCCCTGACCTGTGCTGACCACCAGGTCAGATGCTGGGGGTAGGGTCAGGGCCCGACCCCTCTCCTTGCTCACTCTGCAAGCCCCTCGCCCACTGTGGCAGGGTCAGCAAACTGCCGCCTGGGCCAAACCTGGGTCGCTGGAAGCCAGCCGGGCCCACCCGTTTGCGTCCTGAGCCTGGCTGCAGAGCTGGGCGGCGCTACAGACCGCTCGGCCAAGTGTCCCTTTACAGACCCTGGCTCAAGACCACCTCAAACCATCCTCCACAAAACTGACAGGACAAAGGACGAACCTGGGTCGAAACCCTTCAGCAGATCCCAGTGCCTTCCGGCCAAAGGACAAACTCCGCAGCCTGCAGAGAAAGCCCGACTTAGTTTCCGGCCTCATCTCCCGGAGCGCTCCACCTGCGCCACGCTGGGTTCTTTACAGGCCCACGTTCCGTGTGTCTGGACCTCTGCACATGGTTCCTCCCTGAGATGCTGCTCTCCGCTGGCCACATGGAACCATCTGGAAGTCCCTGGATGTGCCCTGACAGTCACGCTTCCATGTCCCTCCCCCCTGCCCTGTGTCTAGGGTGAGGTGCCCTTCCCCCCCATAAGTCTTCCCTCCGGGCAGAGGCTGGCACTGGCCCCAAAGGTATCCAGGCCCCAATCCCTGGAGCTTGGGAACCAACCTTCTGTGGCAACACAGACTGTGCAGAGGTGATCAAGATTTCCAGACGGGGAGGTGATCCAGGTGGGCCTCAACTGCACTCCTAAGTGTCTTTCTATAAAACAGCGGCAGAGGAAGACTGGCGTAGACAATCTCAGGCATGTAACCAGAAGCAGAGCTTGCAAGTGACCCGGCTGCAAGCCAAGGACCACCTGGAGCCCCTAGAACAGGGGTCCTCAAAATTTTTAAACAGAGGGCCAGTTCACTGTCCCTCAGACCGTTGGAGAGTGCGGTGCACATTCCACACATGCGCACTGTGGGCCCGGGGCAAGTCGGCTGCTAAGCAGGACAGGCAGCGGCAGCAAAAACACCTGGCCGGCTAGATAAATGTCCTCAGCGGGCCGCATGTGGCTCTCGGGCCGTAGTTTGAGGATCCCTGCCCTAGAAGCTGGGAGAGGCAAGACAGGACCCTCCCCTAGAGCCTTCAGAGGGAGTGTGGCCCTGGGACACCTTGATTTGGGCCCAGTGATACTGATATCAGACCCAGTGTCTAGGAGCTACTGAATCTCTGCAAGAGAACAAACGTTGGTGGTGACTTGTTACAGCAGCTCTAGGACGCATATGCCTGACTCGGTGTCCTCTGTGCCCCTCTGTGCCTGGGGCTACACCGCGCTGCAGTGGTCTGTCCAGCCTGCCTCCCCCTCCGCGCTGGGCTCCTGGAGGGAAGGGCTGCGCCCCCGCCATGCTGTGTCCTGGGAGCCAACAGAGGGGCGGACACCTGGGGCTCAGTCCCCTTTGATTAGACAAGAGCACAACTGCTTTCCATGACAAAACTCTGTCTGCCTTCCAGAAAATTCCTTTAACTTCAGCACCAGAACACCTTCCCTTGGTCCTTACCCCTCCTTTAGTACCCCAGGAATTACCTTTATTTTGCAGGAAAGAAAGTTTCAAGGCAGATGCATCTGCAACCCTTTTCCACGACCCCTAGCCGGTTTATCACCTAAAACGGGCTGAGCTGCTGTGGTGCTTGCTGCCGGAGGCCCGCGAGGAGCAAGAGCTTGTACGTCCATTTAAAATACTTTGTTTTGTTTTTTGCCAGCTACAAACAACAGAAACAAACCGGTGAAGGGGAGAGACAAGATGGACAGAGCCGTTCCCGGAGGAAAGGGGCCTGTCTGAGGCTTCTCTCCTCCCCGCGGCCCTCAAAGCTCTTTAAGGCAGTTTAAATGTCTGCTTTCTCGTGGCACGGAGCTGGTCAACCTCGTCGCCTGCAGCGCGTTGGGCTGATCTGCCACGTCAGGCAAATGGGGCCAGGAGCTGCAGCACAGGGCTCGGGTTCTTCGGGCTGCCAGGCTCACCTGTTCGGGCAGAGCTGCAGCCGAGTCCCCCCACCCCCCAGGCTCGGGAAACCAGGGGACCGCACCCCCTGCAGCCGCCCTCTCTCCTGCAGGAGCCCACGCTTTGGCCACAGCCTCCCTGGAAAGAGCAACCGCAAGGAGCGACAAGTACCCGAAAGGCTCCGAGTCCTATTTCCTCCTCCTCCCTTTCTTGTGAGCGCGTGTTGACAAAGTCTCACTGACACTCAGGCATTTCTGGGCTTTTCACAAAACAGGCCTGAAACAGCAAGGTGAAGCAGTGGACACACACTTCCCTGTCCCCGCCACGGGACGCTCCCAGATGGCATGGGGAGCAGCAGGGAGTTAGAAAGCATGTGTTCCCTCCGTGCTCACCCCTGACACCATCCCGGGAGCGCGCAGGTGCAGCTCCTCCATCACCAGGGCCGCCCAGGCCTGCCTGGCCCTCGGATGTGGCCAGGCCACGTGAAGAGGTGTGGGGCGGCGACGCCCCACACCACTGACAGCCAAGAGGATCTCCCCCTGCTTCCTGCAGGAATGGTACGTGGCAGAACAAACAGGTTTAACAGCCTCGCCCCTCACCCCTGCATCGCCCATCTTCTCCTCCCAGCTTTCCCCTCCCCACACCCAGAGAGCAGGCACACCTGCCAGTGCCCACTGTGCTCAGGCCAAAGTTCACTTCCTCCTTGGACAGTAAAGAGCAACCCCCGCTGACCTTTACAGACTCTTCAGCTCGGCAAGGGCTGCAAAACACCAGAGCTAACAAACGCAGGGTGACATGTCTCATAGAAACGAACATTTACGAATGCCTGTTATGCACCAGACCCTCACTTCTACCTCTGAACCCCACATCCCCTTCCGTATTCTGCACTCAACAGGCATTAGTGACTGTTTACCGAAGCCACTTAAAGATGGTTCAGGATAACTTAGTTTTCAGCTGTTTTTAAGTCAACTACCCAAGAGGAGTATATTGGTGTTTTTGTTTTTTTTTTTAATTTTTTAGTTTTTTTTGAGACAAGTCTCACTCTGTCACCTGGGCGAGAGTGCAGAGGCACCATCATAGCTCACGGCAGCCTCAAACTCCTCGGCTCAAGTGATCCTCTTGCCTCAGCCTCCCATGTAGCTGGGACTACAGGCACCTGCCACCATGCCTGGCTAATTTTTCTATTTTTAGTAGAGCTGGGTTCTGGTTCTTGCTCAGGCAGGTCTCAAATTCCTGGCCTCAAGCAATCCTCCTGCCTTGGCCTCCCAGAGTGCTAGGATTATAGGTGTGAGCCACCGCGCCCGGCCAGTATTGGTTTTTTATTGCTGCCATAACTTGGACGGCTTAAACACCACCACCTTATCATCAGCTTATTACCTTACAGTCCTGCAGAACAGAAGCCTGGCACTGGGCAGTGATCAAGGACTGCTGGGGGCAGAATCCACTGCTGCGCCTTTTCCAGCTCCCGGAGGCTGCACACCCTCCTCCCTGCGAGACCAGCAGTGCTGCCTCTCTCTGCCATCGTTTCCGCTTGCTCTTCTACCTTTGAGGGCCTGCGATCCCACTGGGCTCACTAGGAAACGTCAAGATATTCTCCTCAATGTTAGGGGCGGCTGATTAGCTACCTTCATTCGCCTCTGCCATGGAATGTAGCACATTTGCAGCTTCTGGGGGTTTACTGTGCTGCCGACCCCAAGGAGGGATATGATGACCCCCAGGAGAGAGATGACGGAAGGGCCTCCAGCTTTTCCAAGGGCTGGGACCACCCACACGAAGACCCGGCCATGGGTGGTGGTACAGCCTCCAACCTCTACAGTTTGCATTTATTGCATCACAGTGGGGCTGTGTCTGCTTAATTTGTATTATCAGTGTTATACTTGGAGGAATTTTAGCAAAAAAGTCACCCTCCCAGTTGAAAGTGACATCCCAAACAACACTACATATCACTGTGTCCTTCCCCAGAGTGCCTGAAAATAAGCGGACATGACAACTCCCCACTGGCCCACATCAGAGCTCACCTCCACACACAGTGCAGTGCAGGAGCCCAGAGTCTTATCTAGAGCTTTCCTCACTGCCAGGCTCCTGGGACACAAAGGCAGGAACGCCAGGACTCCCACTCAACCCAGTGTGACCCTCAGAGCTGTTCTGACCGGTCCTAGTCTCATGCTCACCCCAACTCTGTCACACTGCCCTGTCTTGAGCCGGAATCCAGGGCCTTCCTCGCTGCCCGTGGCACCTGCCCCGCTGGACACAGGTGGAAACAGTTCTCTGCTCCGAAACCAGGAGCTCTGGGCTCCACTCACCGACTCGACTTATCACAGAGAAACAAGAGGATCCAAAAGAAATGCAGACCAAGAGAGAAAATGGAACATCTTCTTCCCAAACACATTTCTCTACTATCAGGATTACTTTTTCCTAATTAATTGTCCTGATTAAGTGAAAAGGAAAATCAAGATAAAGGTTCTTAAAAATCAATATAAAACGTTTTTAGTTTCCTTAATGTTTGCATTTACCATGAGTTTTCCAGGAAATCTCAACAGTTCAGAGTGCACCGAAGAGAAAAGAACCAATACTGTCTCTCCCTCCTGCCCTCGCCAGCATCCCTGGTACCATTGCACAAACAGAATAGAGAAATGACTTGTCATCGCACTGATCCATTTCAGGACCCCAGACACTGTCCCAGATCTCAGCTCTTTTGTGTTTGAAAGAGGAGACACTCGAACATTTATACAGCCTCCCCTGTACAGCTGCCAGACGTACGGACACTCAGACAGCGGGGCCGTGAGTGTCTGTGGGAGCCTGACGTGCACGCGCTCACCTCGAGGGAGCGGGGTGAAAGCACCACCAGAGCAAGAACCGCTCCTGCCGCTCCCTGGGTCTCCTCACGGCCTCTGCAGCTCAGGGAAGCGCTGCAGACTCAGTGCACGGTGAGGGGGAGGTGAGAATATTCTCACGTGTGGATAGCTTAAACCAATACATTGACCAAGTTGCCATGGGCTACGAAAATATGCTTACAGCCTAAAGGACAAGAAGGGGGACTTCTGGCTAGAAGAAGTGTCAAATGATCAGATGTGCACCCTGACTAGAGACAGCATGGTCACACAGAGTGGTCCAATCCAGCTATAACTAGATGATTTCCTCCACCACTTGGTAACATATCATCACGTTTCGGGATCAGGTTAATTTGGACAAGAAAAAGTGTGAGAAAAGGCCTAGAATTCTGTCCCCAGACTGCTGCCATGGCTGTGTGACAGTGCCTGGACAAATCCATGCTTTTTACCTGCGTCCTCCCCCTGAAGATGCTCTGGGCTGCGCTGACAGGAAACCCTTGCCACATGGGGGGAGGGCTGGCCCCTTCAATGTGCCTTTCACAGGGCCTGGGCACAGACAGAGGGCTCATTGAGGCCAGCAGGGAAGGGCACCGGGGAGGAGCCCCATGCACCCACAGGCTCCACTGGACTGTCCTGCTGAGGGGCCTGGGGTGGCCCGCAAGGAGGGTCTGCGGCCCAGCCCAGGAGGACCTTCCCCAACAAAGCTACTCCAAGGGAGAGGAAGAGGGAGCTGCAGAGACTCAGCTCCTGAGCAGCTACAGCACATGCTTCCTTTTAGGATCCTTCTGTGACCCGGCGCTTTTTTCAGATTTTGGCCCTTCCACTGCCAGATTCAGTTGACACCAACAGACTCACATTCCCAAACTTAAGCTTTGTGGAAAATGTGGTAGGAAAAGCCGTCGAGCATACAAGATGGGAAGGGGAAATGGAGCTGGGGTGCTAAGAGGCCCTGGTTTTCCGGGGGTCACGAAGATGAAAAGGTGTTTGGGGGAGAGAGGTGGCTGCTGGAGGCAAGCGGCAGAGTGGTCACAGGTGCCAGGTGCCAAGCCCAGGGACACAGAGGGCGAGGGAAAGACCACTCAGAGGGAGACCCAAAGACACCAAGCAACAAGGACAGGCGAAGAGGAGCCAGTCAGAAATGAGAGAGCCCAGACCCAAGGGCAGTGGTGGGGGGACAGCTATGGCGGGGTGGGAGGATGGTCTGCATGCAGGGAGGAGGAGAGGGAGCTGAGCAAGGCTCTATCTCAGATGAGGGCAACGACGGCAAGGACTGGGATGGTCTGGGAAGGTGGGCCCGATACAGGTGTGACGAAGGGCCAGTTAGGCAGGGGAGCCTTCCCTCCACAGGAGAGGCCGTGCAGAGGGGTAGATGAGGGGTATCTGAAGTCAGGGCGGGGTGGGAAGGGGTCATTGCCAAGGGTGGGAGTCCCACCTGAGTCAGAGAGAGGAGGAGTCCTGCAGGTCAGAGGGGACGGTGTGCCACGCTGGCCAGAGCGGGACCTGTCCTACTTGAGACAGAGGGATGTCAGAGCAGAGGGGCCCCACACTAGTCCGAGGGAGGGCGTGTTCGCCGCCAGTGGGAAGAAGGGGACTGTTTCCCACAGGGTCCGAAGTAGACCGTCCCAGCCCAGTCTGCAGGTCGGGGGACTGGGGCCCCGCTAGGGTCAGACGGGGAGGGCGCCTGCGGGGTCACGGGGCGGGACGCGGCAGGGTCGGAGGGCGGCGGCAGGCTGCGGGACGGAGGGCCGGGCCCGTCGCGAGTGGAGGGCGCCGGGCCGCGGGCGCACGGTCACTCACCGCTGCGGGCCTGGCTCCGAGTGCCCGCTGGCGGCGGGGCCTCGCGGCGGGCAGGCCGGGACGGAGCGGGGAGGCTGACTTCCGCCCGGCGCGTGCTCGCCCCGCCCCGGGCCGCCCGCTCCCGGCAGCCTCTGCTCTGCGCCTGCGCGCCGGCGGCGGCGAGGGCTGCTGGGAATTGTAGTTTCCCGGCCGCCGTCCGGGCGCGGGCCGCAGCTGGCGGTTGCGGGTCGGGTGCGGGCCGGTGCGGGCGCCCCAGGATCCCGGCACCCCTGGCCTCCGCAGCACGGCCACGCAGTTGTGGGGGCGTGTGTGTGCACGGTCCCGGGCTTCCTCGAACCCACACTGTGGGCCACCCCGCTGGGCTCGCGAGGCGGAAAAGCGAAGACCCCTCTCTGCCACTCTCGTTCTCTCTCCTCTGCTGTTCGGGGAGAGTGTGTGTGTTCATATGTGTAGGATGTGCCATTTCATATATGGTAGGGAGTTACCATGTGTGTTTCATCATGTGTAGGGAGTACCGTCGTGCGTGATGTCATATGGTGTAGGGAGTTGTCATGTGTTCATAATTATGTAGGGAGTTACCGATGTGTGTTCATATTGAGGATTACCGGTGGTTCATATATGTGTAGGGAGTCGTCCATGTTTCAGTATATGCTAGGGAGTACTGTGTTGTTCATATGTGTCAGGATTACCGTGTTGTGTTATAGTGTTAGGAGTTTGCCATGGTGTTCATATATGGTAGAGTTGACGGTGTTTCCATATGGTAGGATTACCGTGTGCTGTTCATTATTTGTAGGGAGTTCGCGCGTGGTTCAGTAGTACTGCGTAGGGGCCGGTGTAGCCGTGTGGGGTTCATGATGTGTGGTGGGTAGGGAGGTTACCGTGGTGGGGGGGGGTGTTCATATGTGTAGGGAGTTACCGTGTGTGTGTTCATATGTGTAGGGAGTTGCCGTGTGTTCATATGTGTAGGGAGTTACCGTGTGCGTGTGTTCATACTGGTGTAGAGTTGCACCTGTGTTCTATATGTTAGGGGAGTTACCGTGTGTGTTTCATGATGGTGTAGGGAGGTTGCCATGTGTTCATATGAGTAGGTAGTTCCCTTGTGTGTTATATGTGTAGGAGTTACCGTGTGTGTGGTTCCGTATGTGTAGGGGTTTGCCGTGTGATTCATTAATGTGTTGTAGGGAGGTTACTGTCTGCTCATATGTGTAGGAGTTACTGTGTGTTGCAGTATTTGTCGAGGGGACGTTTACTGTGGTTTCATATGTTGTAGGAGTTACTGTTTGTTCATACGGTGTAGCCTACTGTGTGTTCATATGTGTAGGGAGTTACCATGTGTGTGTGTTCATATGTGTAGGGAACCCTCCCTCCCTTCCCTGTTCTGCGTTCCCTGCCCAGAGGCAGTCACTATTACTAGTTTCTTGTGATTCTTCTGAGAGATATTTTATGCTACACAAACAAGCCATACACACGGGTCTTAAATTACCTTTTTTTTTTTTTTTTAACTTAATGGAAATGTGCTAAGCACGCTGTTCTGAAGTTGTTTGTTTTGGGATGGGGGTGAGGAGATAAACCTTTCTTGAAGTCATTAATGTTTCCTGTCACGCAAAACTGAGTCCCAACTGCCGCGTCCTGCCATACTATTATAATTATTTTAAATTATTTGAATGCTTTATTTTCTAAGATAGTTATATATGTCTCCCAGTTTAAGAAAGAACACATTATTCCTGATGTCTTTAAAACTCTCCAGGTGCTTCTTCCCACTTCTCCCTACCCCCAAGAGGTAGCCACAATCCTGAATCTTGTTTTAATCATTCTCTACCTTACTTTATAATTTTAGCAGATAAGTATGTATCCCTAAACAACATATTGCTTAGTTCTGCCTATTTTAACCTTTACAAAATGAGATAAAATTGTACGCGGTGGATGAGAGATTCGGTTGCTCCCCAGATAAGATCAGGTGTTTTATTTTTGCCAATCTGGTGGTGCAAATGTGTTCTCATTGCCTGATTACTGAGAGGTTGTGTGTCTTTCCTTACATGTTTTGGCCGTTTACATGTTTTCTTCTGTGAAGGCCCCAAACTTTCAGTGCTGTTTTCAGCAAATAACCCACCCTTTCCCCGTTGATATGCATGCACTGCCAATTTTGTCATAGACCGAGTTTCTACATGTACATGGGTCTGTTGGGGACGTTCTGTTATGTTGTACTGATGATTTTTGATATCTACCCCAATATCCACTGTCTTCATTACTATCTCTCCATAATAAGCCTTTATATGTTGTAGGACATGCTCCCTCCCTCCCTCGCCCTCAAGCTTATGGGACATTCAATAATTACTTTGATTTATGGGGAGAGAACTGAGACTTTTATAATATCGACTCTTCTGTCCAAGACTGTGATTTGCCTTTCATTTATTTAGGTCTCCTTTAATGTTTTCCAGTAAAGTTTTGTAATCTTTCACTTCGCAGTACAGCTTGGAGATTGTTCCATATGGTCCTACAGAGAACAGCTTCATCTTCTGAGCAGCTGCGTGGTATTCCACAGGGTGGATGTCCTGCCACTTATTTTTTTCCAGGACTCTAATGATATCCTTTTAGGATATCTGTGATCTTTTTATAATACAGCAATGCTCCGGGGGATATCCTTGAACTTATTTGAGCGCAGCTGTAAGTACATCTGTAGGATACATTCCCAGAAGAAAGGTTACGGGGTCAGGCGGTGTTTGCTTGCCGTGAGTGAAGACACGCCTTCCCGGTGCCGTGAAATCGCTGTCCTTAAGGTCAAAAGTGA